TGAAGTCTTCCTCTTGCAAAACTGGAACTCCACACCCAATAAACAATAGCTCCCCATTCACTTCACCAGCCTTGTGATACCTCAGTCTCTTCTCTGATTTTTACGGCTTTCCATTACCTGATTAACCATTTCCTTATGCTAAATTATCTTTGTCAGAATAACTGTCATGGGGCCCCTGGTGGCTCAGTTGGTGAAGTGTCTGCTTTTGGCTCAGGGCATGATCCTGGGATCCTGGGATCGAGCCCCAAGTTGGCTCCCTGCTCATCAGTGAGTCTGCTTCTCCCTCTCCTTCTGCCCCTCCCCCTGCTTGATCTCTCTCTCTCTCCCTCTCTCTCTCTCAAATAAATAGATAATATCTTAAAAAAAACAAACTTGTAATTTCTGCTTTCTTGGCTGGAACTTGACTGACACCACTTGGTACTGAGGTGGTCCCAGGACACAGACCCCTGAAGAAGGTATCCCAGGACTGATGTGGCCACATCCTCCTGCCTCATGACAGTGCCAGGGGGATGGGATCCCAGCAGGGCTGCGCTGAACTGGGCTCCCTCCAGCTGGCGAGAGGGAGTGGTGCGCATCACTTCTCAACTATGTCCAGTGACATCCCATAAGCAGCTTAAAATCAGTCATGGTGGGAGTGTTTGTACCACAGAAATCCGAAACAAGTACAAATCAGAGTTCATCTTTTCTCCAGAGGGCTAGTTCAGCACAGCAAAGTTTCCAAGGGGTCTCCCAGTAATACATGGGGACATCACTACTCGTTACGTTATCATCCGCATTGGATGGTGACACAGCGCCCACAGAAGGGCCTTGAAGAGCTGAGTGGCTGCTACGCTTCCTTAGTTGCGAGGACAGAGGACTGTGGAGTGGCGGGGCGGGGGGCTGCATCCGAATTCACTGGACTACTACAGAAAGAAAGGGACAAGCTCTTTAAACATGTAGCTTAACTCACCGTCAGAAAACCAGGGAGATTCTATGGAGCCCGAAAATAATCTTTGATTTCTAGCAGCTTTGGTTTTCACCCTTGCTGGAAATCATACCCCAAATTTAATTAGGCAGGTTGCAGAATTACAACCTGAACGCACTTCATAGATTTTCCAAAATCTCAAGCGGTACATTTGGATGTCTACTTTGTCTGGCTGAGCTGTGACCTGAGAGCACAAATGTACCCTCACCGGCAGCTGGGGGCCAAGGACACACATGGCAGAACTGGGCTGGGGGAGAAGGAGGTATGGGAGGGAGGGATGTGGATGCTTCTCAGTGAGATGATACCTGCGTCCCATGTGAACGCCCACTCCAGTGCGTCCGCAGGAGCAGCAACTCTCAGTGTTCATGTGGACCAGGTGACACAGTTTGTAGATGACAGTCCTTTTCCCCAGCTGTGCCATTGCTCACTCACTGGGTTTATTTATGAAGTGGCCATGGTGTCAGATGTGATTCTCAGCGTGGGCCTGAGAACACGGACTTCCCTCATCCAGCAGATCTGGCCACTGTCATTGCTGAGTGCCCCAGGTGACGACAGTGGAGACCAGCCCTCACGCCTCAAATGGCACCATTTCCTGGGGGAGGGACGGAAGCTAAAACCAGCGTTAGAAACTGCCAACGTGACCACTGAGACATGCTAAAAAACAAAACAAAACAAAACCAGAACAAAACAAAATAGGACTAATAGACTTACAAAAACAAAACAACCCCCCCCAAAAAAAAAACAAAAAAAAACCCAAAAAAAACAAACCTGAAATGAAAAATTCCCGGAACAGGTTTATCAGGAGCCTAAAGGAAAATGAGTGACTGGAGGGGAGGTCTGAAGAAATATCCATGATATGGGATATAAAAATGAGAGATTCAGCTATGACAGAGAAGTAAAAAGATACGGAGAATGATATGTTTTACAGACTTCTCTCTGTTTCTCTTTCTCTCTCTCTTTACCACAGCCCACGGTAATAAATGTGCTTTATTTGTGACTCGCTACGCAGATATATGTATAAGTATGTTAATAAATACAACTGAAACAAAAGTTTCATGAAATAATACAACAAGGTCTGATGTCTGCTATTTATTTTCTTTCTCAGTGCTGGTAACAACCTACTAAATTGATTTTATAAGTCACTCTTGGGAAACAACCTAGAGTTTGAATAACATGGGTTGAATAAACTACTAGTCAGACTTCCAGAAGAAAAGAGAAAGAACGAGGCTGGGGCAATATTTAAAAAAGATGTTGTCACACATACTCCAGTATGGATGAACCTGGAGGACGTTATGTTAAGTGAAATTCGGCAGATACAAAAGGACAAATAAATACAGTATGATTCCACTTCTGTGAGGTTTCTAGAGTACTCAAATTCACAAAGACAGAAGATAGAGTAACCCCTGGTTACTAGGGGTTGTGGGAAGGTGGAATGGGGAGCTATTGTTTACTGGGTGTGGAGTTCCAGTTTTGCAAGAGGAAGACTTCAGAGATGGATGGTGGGGAGGGTTGCCCAACAGTGTGAATGTATTCCATACCACACTGGGTACGGTTACCTCTGTTACTAGGTAAGCTGGTCAAGTATATGTTCTGTGTATCTTACAACAATAAAATACAATGTTTAATGTGGTCTGAGAATTTTCCAGAAGGATGAAAGATACCGAACAACAAATGCAGAACGCCCTGAGAATTCAAGCAAGATAAGTGCTTTGTAGACTATAGACTGAAGGTTTATGTCCTCCCGCTCATTCCTATATGGAAACCCCATTCCCCCAGTGGATGGTGTTGGGAGGTGGGGCGCATAGGAGAAACTTTGGTCATGAGGGTGATGCCCTCATGAAGAGGACTAGTGCCCTTAGAGAGAAGCCCCAGAGCACAGGAGAAAGGCAGGCTGTGAACCAGGATGTAGGGTCTCACCAGACATGGAGTCTGCCAGTGCTTTGGTCTTGGACTTCCCGGTCTCCCGAACCATGAGAAATAAATGCTGTTACTTAAGCTATCCATTCCATGGCATTTTGTTACAGCAGCCTGAATGGGCTAAGACAATAAGTAAAAGCACACATTATGGTAAAACTGCACAACCCCAGGATAGGTGGGAAAACAGATCATCCTTGAAGGGATGATGGGGAGATTGTCGTCTGAAATCTCTAGTAACAACAGTAGCTGGAAATGAGTGAATGGGTATCTTTGGGGTGTTGAGAGAGACCTGTCAGCTTTAGTAAACTAGCCAAAATATCTTCCAAGAACAAGGGCAAAATAAAGTCATTTTCAGATTAACAAAAACTGAGAGAGTTTGGCCCAGCAAACCCTCAATGAAATAGAATTTAAAGAATGTACACATTCTTCAGGCACACGGAATGTGATCCTAGTTGTTAAGTTCTGAGATGCAAGGAGAAAAGATGGGCAAAGAAATTGGTAACTGTGTGGTTGCATCTAAACTAACATCAATCATATAAAACAATACAATAATGACTCATGAGATGAAAAGATTAAACCTGAAATACACCATAATTAAGGCATATGATTTGGGGGATGGGTGTTTAGAGGTAAAGAGTCCCAAAGTCCTTGTATTTTAAGGAAGCATGGTAAAGACATTTTTAAAAATTGGACTTTCATAAGTACATCGCAATTTCTATGGTAATCATGAAAACAACAGAGATGGTGTATAAGAGGAAGAAAAGAGAATGAGGGAAAAAAAAATCAGCCCTAAGGAAGAAAGGTGAGGAAAAAGGAAAAAAAAAAAAAAAGACATGGCAAATAGCACAAAAAAAGTGGTAGAAATAAATGCAGACATATTAGTAAATATAATAAGTGTAAATGTACCAAATGCTCTAGCTAAAAGACAAAGATTATCTTTAAGAAATCTTACTCATTATGAAAAAATTCAAGTATACTGAAAAGTAGAAAGACTAGGACAAAGAATACCCAGATGCCAACCACAGTAGAGTCAACATTAACTACCCGCTGTTTGTTTTCTCTCTATAGATGTGTAGGAGATGATTACAGCACATGTATTTTTTAAAAGATTTATTTATTTATTTGAAGTAAAGAGAGAGAGAGCAAGCGAGAGCGCGCAAACTCGCAAACACACACCAGGTGGGGGGAGGCGCAAGGGAGTCTTAAACAGACTCTGTGTGAGCGGGGGCTCCGTGTCATGACTCTGAGATACCACCTGCGCTGAAATCAAGAGTTGGTCACTTCACGGCTGAGCCACCCAGACTCCCCTTAATAATACATACTTTACAAACATTACATAATGACATTCTATTTAAGCAGCAATAATGATGTAATGTTCACTTCGGAGGCCAAGCAGATTTGGGTTCCCAGCAATTTTTAATTACAGTTTATTTGTGTGGTTATTTTTTCAGAGGCTGGATCTCCAGCAGGCTCTAGTGAGAGGATCGGAACCAGGTTCATTTCTCTGATCATTGTATTTGTAAATGTTTGTTGTGTGGATGAGTAAAGGATGCAGCATAGTGCTTGCTACATAGTAAACATTTGATAGAGAGTAGCTTTCATTACATTCGATGGTGCTATTACTGAAAGCGTTCAGCGGAGTGGCACAAAAGCAGCAAGAAATAATTGGTAGCTTCCTGTGTATTTATTGTTTGCCACACGTCACGTTGCCTAGCACAACATTCACTTATAAACATGCTTATGATAAAACTTTATCATTCACAGTCTCTGCCAGTGCCTGGCACTACATAAGCAAGGGCAAAGTGGAATTTTCTTCTTTTTATTATTATTGACTAAAGCACTTTAACAACGGCTGGCCCCCATGGGCCCTGAGTAAATAACCTTCGCGACGGCTGTTCTCGCTTCAGAGCATCCCGGACGGCCCCGCCTCCAGACCTGCGCGACGCCCCGCCCCCTGCCACCCGGTAGCCCCGCCCTTCGGTCCGCGCAGCGCCTGCGCAGAGCTCCGGGAGGGAGCTCCGCGCGCGCAGCTTCCCGCCGCCCGAGCGCGCGCAGGACCGAGCCGGCCAGCCCGCTGCGTGCGTGCGTGCGTGCGTCGTTGCGTGCGTGCGTGCGTGCCGTGCGCTCGCCGGGCACCGCGGCCTCGCCCTCGCCCTCCGCCCCTGCGCCTGCACCGCGTAGGCCGTCCCTCCCCCCCCGCGCGCGCACCCCGTAGACGACCCCCGCCCGCGTCCCGGCCGGCCCCCCCTTTCTAGATTTAAAGGGGGCGCAGCATTAACGCCTCCTGCCTCAGGTGACCTCTCAGGGGGTCCCCCCGGCAGAGGTGCCCCACCGCTGAGGAACATGGCGAAGGTGGAGCAGGTCCTGAGCCTCGAGCCGCAGCACGAGCTCAAATTCCGAGGTAAGCCGGAGGCCCGCCATGTTCGCCCGCGGGCCCGGCCCGGTCGCCCCGCGCCCCCGCCCGCGCTCGCAGGCACCGGCGGCGCGGCGGTGACGTGGGTGCCCGCCCGGCCCGCGGTCCCCGCCCCGCCCCGCCCGACGGCGCGCCCGCCCCGCGCTCCGAGCCTGTCGTCGGGTCGCCGGGCGTCCTGGGCCCGCGCCTCGCCCCCAGGCTCCCCGCGCGCTCCCGGCCCTCGAGGCCCTGGGCGCGGTCACCGTCCAGCCGGTGGGGGGGGTGTCCTCGGGCCGAGCTCACGCCGCCCTCCGCGGGGCCGCCTACGGGGCCGCCTCCTCCGGGCGGCGGACGCCTGCAGTCGTCCCCTGTCACACCTGTGTTCCGCGGCGGCGGGGCACTCACGCCACTCAAAGGACCGTTTTACGCACTTGTTTACTGCGTTGCTGCAGGAGAAGGGAAGCTCCATGAGGACAGGACCTGGCGGTTGGTCTGCCGGGTGCCCAGCACCTTTCAGGAGCCCAGTGAACATCTGCTGCACAAGCGAATGGAAGCGCTCCCGCAGCTGTGATGGGACAGGGCTTTGCTTGCCTTCTGCGGACCTCCTGCTGCCCGTGGCCCACTTTTGTGCGGCTGGGGCATGCGGGGGGCCGCCGGGGCGGAGGTCCTTCCCCCTGCCAGAGCAGCCTGGACCCAGAGTCAGGGCAGGCCCGGTGCGCCACGTGTGCTGGTGGCAAGCTAGGGCCCTCCGGGAAGTGCAGTTTTACACTTTTTATGGTTTTCTCCCCTGCTTTCCCCACTGAAGTGCCAGCGTCAAGGGGCAGTGGGGACCATGTCAGACTTTCCCAGTCCTTTAAAAACGTGTTGAGTAACCGTGTAGTAGGTGTGTGCTTGGCACTGGAGAGACAAGGAATGACCAAGAGACAAGTCCCCTGGCATCATAGAGCTTACCTTCTCCTGGGGGAGGTTGGGTGGGGGGCAGATCAGCAAACGAGAATATTTCAGGTAGTGGTAAGTTCAGTGAAGGAAATACAACAGCTGATGTGATGAGAGTATTCTTAATGTGGGATGGCCGGGTCTGCAGGGACCGCCGGCGCTCGGCCCTCAGCAGGTGCTCGGTAGATGTCTGTGGGATGAGTGCTGGCCAGAGTTTATATGTATTGGCAGGAGGTAGTATAGGGTAACTTACCCAAAGTTATCCAGTTGGCAACGTGGTGCATTTGAACTCTAGGGCTCACACTCTTTAACAGTTATGCTGTCTGACCCCTGGGACCTAATCCAGAACTGTGGCGTCACTTTGCCTCCTGAAATAACAATGTGAAATGCTTCCAAAGGGTATAAAGAACTAAAGGTTTTCCAGTTAAAATAAAACAAACAAAAAACCCCCACAGACCTAACCGGATTGTAGTTCTGTGACAGTACTTTGGCTTGGGTGATGTTCTCATGGCCTTCTCGTGGAGCAGCCAGCCTGGGAAAGGAATCCAGGTAGTGAAAGTGAGGGTGGAGGGCGACGGTTTCCACTTGAATTGCCCGAAGTTCTCTATCCCAGAAGCATGGTTGAGCTACTCCTGAGTACTGGCAACTTTCCTTCCTTTAGTTCACAAACATTTACTGAGTGCCTGTTCCACGTGTGTGATACTAGGGAAGATGGATTACATTCTCCCTCAACCCCCCACCCCAGGACTTAAGTCTCGGGAAGGAGGCACGTGACAGAATCATCCAGGACCGTGCAATGATAGAGGGTAATCACAGTGCTTGGAGAGCAGTAAGAAGGTCAGTTCCTATAAAGGTGTCATTTGAGCGGAGTTTAAAAGTCAAAGGAAACGGACTAAAAGAAGAAACGCTGGGGAGTATGTCAGGCAGAGGAAATCCCACGGATAGAGGAAGAAGACTGAGATGACTGGGCCCCTTTGGGGTGCCACTAGGAGTTCTGAATGACAGCAGCAAAGAGCGTTGGTTAGGGTTGCAAGGCGAGGTAGGAGATGAGGCCGGCTAGCAGATAGGAGTAAGATCCAAGGCCTTCTGTGCACAGACACAACCAATATCCAAGTTCAAATTGTGTTTCTTTTCCTTAGCTAGTCTTTCCTTGATTGATACCCACTCCCCCACCCACCCCCCAGTACATACACTCCTCCAATATTATTTTATGGGAAGAGGTACTAATTTGAGAAAACTAACATGTTTGTACCAGTTCTTTCATGTAAGGATGTTTGACTTAGGGCTGACAGCTTCATTCCTCAAGGTCGGGTCATTCTTCAGTCCATGGGGATGGAACTTGCATCTGCCTTGCCCCCTGTAGGAAGTTTTGTAGGAGTGATACTGTGGCTGTTCAGCTGCTTTGTAAATGCACAGTATTATACAGAAATTGGTGGTTGTATTTAGACAGCTGGTTTCATCATTTCAGCTCCTTTACCTGAGGGGTAAAGCAGAGAACTGTGATCTTGCTGTCACTGGGTTGGCCAAAGTAATGATGGCCAAAGTCACTGGATATTTTTGCTAGGAAAGTGGTCCAAGAGAAGTCATGGTGTCAAATTGTTGAAAGCTGTTGGCTCCTGACTTGAGAAGAGGCCTCTGCAGGCATATGTAAACTGCTTTATGAGATTGGTTTATCTGTTTCAAACTGAGCACTAAGACAAAGGAGAATAGAGGCTCAGTACTCTGGCTTGCTGTGTAGAGTTCATTCATTTTAGCATGAGAGCTGCCACGTTTAACTGATCTCTTCCAAGTTACTCAGGGTGATGACTCTGACTTCAGGCGGTTCACTTAGATGAACCAAACCTGTGAGCTAACTTGGTAAGAAGGCAATAATTAAAACGTCTAAAATAATGCAACTTACCATCCAAAGGGAAAAACTTGATTATCTTTTAAAGGGAAAAAAAGAAGCATCTTTTAAATGCAGCAGCTAAAGATGATATGGGGTTATATATGTTGGATTCTTTTTCATCTTGGGCATATTGTGTGCTTATGTTGAAGTTAAGGATTTCACGGAGGAAAAGCGAATGCAGACTTATGTGACTTTGTTCAGACTGCTTGAAGGTGCCAAGCTGTATTGTGTTAAGTATCAGAAAAGAAGCATGACACTGTGACATGTGGCCTGGTGAAATAGTACTAACTCTTCGGGGGGCAGGGTGCTTCTGAAAGAGTTAAAGGTCTTTGGAAACCTTTGAAAAGTTTGTTTGCTGGCGTTACTCTTTCTGTTGCTCGCATGTCTTCCAAGGCCTAGCCCTTCCTTTCCCTTGCATCTTCCGACCCTGAGGTTCTACTTGTTGCCCAGCTCAAAGACAGCGTTCTGAGTGAGTCACTTTCAGCGCATTTTGTGTCTGTTCTTTTCTTTCTCCTCTCTGTCCGCTCCTATCAGATTCCATCTGTGGTAAATAGTATGTTTTGTGTTTTTTTGGTCATTGTCCAAGACTCAATCCTTCTTCACGTTCTAGCACCCCCTCCTGCCCATGAAGCAGTCATGTGACTGCTCATCACATGAGAGTGGGCTGTCAGCGTCCTCCTGAGCTGATAAGTTGAGGTTTAAACCCACTGTGGACCTTTGCTTTATTCTGAGACGAACCCAGTGGCCTTCAGGATGTCTTACTGTTGGTCAGTAGGAATAGCACCAATAGATTGGTGTGGTTGATGACCACTTTGGGGAGAAAATAGGAACTCGGGTGCTGGAGACGGAGGTCAGGTTAGTGACACTCTTGTGTGTGAGGAAAGCATGCTTGGAATCATTAGTTCACTCCCTTAAGTTAATGTGTAATTTAATATTGTTTAGGAAGCTAAAAAATATAAAACTCTACAGATAGAGTCCGTTCTGTGCAGTAATTATTTTCAGATGCTAAGTACAGCATTAATTCTTCAGCTTTAGTGTAGCACTGATTTCCTTAACATGTCATGATCACATAGAACAGCCTGTGTTTTACAGCACAACAATGTCAGCAGTGTGCTTAAGATTCTTTATGGTAGTGGTTTAAATCCATCCTGAATAGATTATCTTCATTTATTTAATTATTAACCAGCTTGCTCATCAAAAGCAAGTGGCATTAAACTTACTAAGCTTTAATCAAACTTAAATCTTCTTAGAGTGTACTGTTTACTTCTGAGTTTATGTTCCTGGGACAAAAATGTGAATCAGAAGTTAACTTTCTTTTACTCACTCGCTTACTTCTCTTCTTCACAGTTAACTCCTTAGGGGGAGAAATGGGTCGATGTGGCCATGGGCTTATATCTGGAAAGTGGTGACAGTTCCTTGACAAGTATGATTGTGCCGTGTACCATAGTTCTCTTCATGATTGCCTGGTAGCTTTGCATCTGTGTGTGGCTTTATTAAAATAAGTCTGAATGGATGCTCATCAAAGGGGTGAATTCTTAAATATTATTAACACTGTCCTTTATTTATTAAAATTATATAGCATTCTTCTTTCCTGTGCTGAGGACAAAATACTGAGAACTTTGACCCTGCAATATTACCACTTGGTAGTTGAAAATTAGGGGAGGAGTCAAGGGAGTAAACTCTTCTGGTTATCACTTAAGTACTACCCTTAGACTCAAATTTTAAGACCTGAAATTGAATTTTTACATAAGGGATTACCTCTGAGATTGGTTCATCCATCCCGTTTGTATTTGAAAAATTTGCCGTGTGAGGGATGACCACGATTTGCGACAAACGAGCACAGCTTTCAGCAAGATGACAAGAAAGACGAACACAGGGAGCGCTGAGCTCCATTAGTCAAGACAAGGTGGCCATAGAGTGTCTTTAATAAAATAAAATAAAAGCCTTCTGCACAGTTATTTTGCAGCAGGGATGGTGTTAAAAACAAAGTCACATTATGGTTTCCAGGCTTGCTTCCTCGTTTTCTGTCATTTTCGGCCCCTTTCAGTCTGTCATCAGCTTAGCACATCTAGGATTGCTTTGGCCCATGCTCAGTGGATCTTTCTGTGCTGCCTTTGAAGTTTTTACCTGAGACCTGGGCTGCTGGCTTTACAAAAACAAGAGTTGTTTAAAGAGCTTTGTTTAT